ATCCTCGAACATTTACTGGGCATTTATATACGGAGCGCTATCGAGTTGCAAATAATTTATTCAAGACTGATTTGCGAGCTCATTACGGCTGTGTGAATGCCATAGAATTTTCATATGGTGGAAGATATCTCGCATCAGGTAAGACATATGTATGTATGTATGTACATATGTACGTATGTTTATTTATTGAACGGCTTTTTTTAGGAGAATAGATGCAAAAGTAGTTTCTTTCTTGAAAAGAAACGGACGAGTACAAAATTTCAGAGCGGGATCTTAAAAACTGAATGACTAGTTAAACAGACAGACGGACGGAAAGACGGACATGGCTAAATCAACTTAGCTCGATGATATTTGTATATTTTATAAAATCTCCGACATTTCCTTCTAGATGTTACAAATTTCGGTGCTAAATTAATGTACCCTGTTCATGGTATAAAAAGAAATTAACATAACAATAAGCATATTTACAAATCCAGGACAATAATATTACCAATGATTATTTTTTAATTGTAACTTCGTATTTTTAGGCGGCGACGATAAACGTGTACTTATATGGGATATTGAAAAAGCAATTGCCCACCATGGACGCCCCCGTGTATTACAAACGGAACATACCAGTAATATCTTCTGTTTAGGTTTCGATCGTTGTAATCGTATTGTATTGTCAGGTGGAAATGATGATTTGGTAATAGCACACGATTTTGAGACGTAAGTCGAGCACTTTACCAAAATAATACTTAAAATACAGCTTATGCTTTTGTAATATATCTTTTAGTGGTAAACTTGTCAATGTCTTCAAACACAATAATCCTGTATATGGTCTATCCATTGATCCGAAATGTGATAGTATTTTTGCGACAGCATGTGAGGATGGACAAATTTTAGTGTTCGATCAACGTGTTGACACGGCCGATCCTTTAGTGGTAGCTCAACAACACACATCATTTCATGCCGTTGAATTTCATCCTGCTGGTGGGAATTTTTTAGTCACTGCTAATTCTAAACGAGGAGCTGCTTTTTGGGATATACGCAAACCGCATCAGTAAGCTTAAACTGACTCCTTATGAATTAATATGTAATATATTTTTTGATGTCTTTTTATGTTTTATCAGTCCTGTTATACAATATGGCGGTCAGGTGGATGATCCACCTAGTTGTATGAGTGTGCGTTTCAATTCGAATGGAAGCCTTATATTAGCTCTGCGTCGTCGTTTACCACCGATCCTTTATAATACACAATCGCCGGAACCGGTTTGCACATTTTACCATGGAAATTATTATAATTCATGCACCATGAAAAGTTGTACATTTGCGGGAGAAAACGATGAATTTGTCCTATCTGGATCTGATGATTTTAACCTTTATGTATGGCGTGTGTCCGATGTGAACTGTAAGTTAAATATTTATGTCCCTTTATGAAATCGATGAATATTTTTATATTTAAAATTACTTAAATAGTGGAGAGGACTGATCAGTGGGTAGAAAATACACAAATGGTGTTATATGGACATCGTTCCATTGTGAATCAAGTTCGTTACAACCCACAAAAATGTCTGTTGGCATCTTCTGGAGTTGAAAAAATTGTAAAGGTAAGTTATGTATATCACACATATTCATATTTTTAATAGGTATTTTATAACATTATATAACTTTCTTTTTTTTGATATTTCCCCTGTTTTTAGCTTTGGAGTCCGTTTTGTCAGAAAGACTGGACCGGTTCGTTGATGGAAAAAGCAACATGTCCCGAAAACCCAAGGGAATTGTATTTACCTTATAATATCTCTTCAATGTCTACGTCGCCACATAGTTGGTCACATATGTCACATGACTATAGTAGTCGTAATACCAACGAAGATCCTCGAATGATGGCGTTCTTTGATTCGCTAATCCAACAGGAAATCGAAAGCTGGAATGCGGACAGTTCAACAGATTCCTCACATAATTCCGACGCCACTCATTCATGCTCTAGCTCGAATGATAGTTCAGATAGTAGCCTAGATGATGAAAGTGATGACGATGACGATGATGATGCTGGTGATGGTGGCGACCTTGTTACTGAGCCCATCAGTGTTCCCGTCAATGTATCTAATGGAAATAATGCAATACGTGAACGTCCCACAAGACATCTCAAACGACGTCTCACTAAACGAAAAGGTATATTTTAAAACTTTTGAAAAAAAATTATGGATATTATTTTAAATTTTCTCATTCATTCGGTTTTTTCTATTTAAAGATCTTAAACGTCGTAAATCAATCTTTAAAAAAAAAGCTAAACCTCAGCGTCATGCTTTTGCTAATCGCATTGCTTACTTAATTGCCACCAAACGTAGTCGCCTACGTCGTTTAGCAATAAAGGGGGCGTCCTTAGGAAATAGGCGACCTTACAAAATTATAAAAGTATGTGATAACAGTACAAGAAAATGTGAGGCCAGCTGTAGCAAATCGATACGCTCGCGTCCACAAGTAAAGCGTAACCAAGCATCTCACCGACATAGTCACAATTTATCACGCAGAAATAACTTTACTATCGATCAAGATGTGTTAAGTGGATCTATTGCATCTACCTCAAGTGCAGTGGCGTCTGGTCAGGCAATAACCAATACAACATCTGAAGCAACAACGATAGCAGGGAATACAAGCAGTCACCGTTACCAACGCCGAAAATATAAAAAGCGTAGTGTCTATGGTGAGTTTCTGCGTAATATATTCATATATATGTATATGCTTAACATATACCAAGCTATATATTAATATTATTTGTTTTTATATTTTATAGACACATCATCAGACGATGGAAGAGAGATGTCCGCTTCTATTTCAACTATTCCAAGCAATGCTCCCAGCACAAGCACCGGAATAACCACAACACTGAAGGGTGAGTACTCAATAAAATTGTAATAGCTTAAAACAGCAGGAAACTTTACTCCTGAAACTCCCTGAACTGCCATTAAAGAAATTTAACAAATTATCAACTTACATACTTATATAATTACTTAAAAATGAAACATGATCCAGTTTCACTATAATTTCACACATTTTGACCAACTTGAACGGTACTATTTATACAAAAAGTTGCTTCAAAATATATTAGTGAGTATACCTGATCAATGTCAAAATTACAATATACTAAAACGGGTGTATTGGGAATAAAGAAAGGAACGGAGCAATGTCAAAATCAAATCAATTAAATTTTGACATTGCTCTGGAATGCTCGATAATATATTTTTAATCAATTTTATATATAAATAATACTCACTGTCCGACATATGCCGCATAAAACTTCATGGAATATACACATGTATATATATTATTATTATGTATATATATTATTAATTAAAAAATTTATAATTATCCTATACGAGATATTAGTACTTGGTAGCATGGTCATGATTTTTAATAACAGCAATACAACGCCTCTTCATAGAATCTACGAGACTGGCATCTTTTTAGTGGTATATTCTGCCCTACTTGCTGCACTACGGTCCACAACTCATTGTTGTTATTGGGTTTGTCATTCCATACGGCTTTCTTAACGTCTGCCCAAAGGTTTTCAATGGGAATAAGGTCAGGGGATTGAGCTGGCCAACCCATGACCTCAATTCCATTGACCCGAAACCACTCCTTTGTCACCCTTCTGGTATGCCTCGGGTCATTATTCTGCTGAAATATCCATTTCAGCGGGATGTCCTCTTCAGCAAATGGTATCATAATATACTGCATTATATCCACGAATTTRTGTCGGTCCGTTATGCTAGTAATCTTGTGAATTGGGACTRCRCAAAAAAATTGGGCCTGKAAGAAAAACACACCAAACCATGAAATTCAAACCGCCAAGCTTCATAGTTTTTGTGCTGAATCTGGGGTCGTACTCTCTATTAGAGGAGCGTGTTAGATACTGACGGGACCCTTTACCGCCGCATAGAATAACTTTCGACACGTCTGTCCACAAGATGTTGCGAATTATGTTCATGTAGAAGTCTTCTCACTATATGAACACCTTAGGCCAGGTTCAGTTCATTCCGAATCTCCATAGCTGACATTCTAGGTCGAGTCTTGGCACATCTTACAACGATTGGTGTAAAATTCTCGGAAAGAATCCATATTGCGCCCATTTTTCGTATTTTTTTAATAAATAATTGCATTGTGAGTCGTTGTGACTTAACACCCTACAATTCTTTTCACTCCCTTGTAGGATTTACCGTTGTTTATGACAGATTGAATACATTGTACATACAGTGCAAAGTCATATTTTTTTTGTTTTTTTTATTGAATAATTAATAAAAGATCTGAAAACTTACTATTTGTTTGATAGAATTAATTTTTTTTTATTAAAAATTATCTGTTTGCAATCATCTCATCGTTCACTACTATTTTATTGCTCGCTCATAAAAACAGACATCCCAATAAAATTGGCTTTAAAAAAGTAACGGTAAGTAATTCACACTTATTGTTATATACAGCAGGACCGTTATACTTCAGAGAATATAACTAAAATAATGACCGACGGCAATATCATAAAGAAACAAAATTTAAAGCAAAACTCTCTTGGCCAATAGGCACTACTATTTCAATGCTCGCAACTGTATATAACCCTACAACCGTTATATATAATAGAGTATAATATTTTTTTTATTTTAAAACCAATGTTTAAATTTTAATCGCAAATACCGGATTAAAAAAAATGTCATCTCAAACATACATATATTTAAGGATTAATAAATATTATTATAAATAATCTGTAGCAAGAACATAAGAAAACAAATTGTGTTAAAATTACATTGGATTAATTTGTAATAATATGACCTTGAGAATTATGCGTTATCATATATGCGTCGCGTTATCACTAATAAACACCAAACCTTACTCCACTTGCCATTAGAAAGCACTAATCAGTCAAACAGTTTAACATTAACTTTATTACGTAATTCAACACATGCAAAATATCTTATTAGAACTTTGAGAGTGACTCAGGACAATGTAAATAATTTCCCGATTGACCACTACTTGACTTTCGTCGTGCGAATTTTGCAGACAACTCTAACTTGTTTGCTGTGTATGAGTAATTCTAAGAACAACACAATTGTCGCCAACATACTGCCAAATATGATGGTATAAAAAGACAACTGCAGATCATTTAGAGTTAGAACTTTCCATTTGTCGCCGCTCTCGTCCAGGTATCCCGCAAAATTTCGTGTTTTAATCCTTGCTTGGTACTTCATATCTGCAATCCAATGGTCAATAAGTCCAGCTTGTACAAATTTAAGCAACAATATATTTATACTCTTTTCCAATGGCGAGTGACTAGGAAGCAAAAAAGCTATATTATAGCTTTTGGGATATTCGGGTATTTTATGTATTTTGTTTGTTAAAAAATAATGTATGTCGTCAAGTTCGAGTGAGGAGGCTCGTGTAACAGATGCGAATTTTCCGCCTCCCGCCATCGTGTGAATAAGACGCTCTTCTAATTCGCCAATTAAAAGTAATTTCTTATGTAAATTCTGATATATTTGCGAGCTATGACCATAAAATAGATCGTCTCTCATAGCTCCATGCTTAATATATATTCTTATATTGGCTTCATCAAGCTCTTCCATCGTATTGATGTCCTTGTAGTGCAGGGGCCGTATGTATACTGTTGCCAAACTTGATTCAAAAAGTGCACCGAAGATCACACTAACCAGACAGAGTGAAGCTATAAAGATTCGTTCTGATATAAAGGGTGGATAACTTACAATATTAACACGCACCCACATCACCCACGTATCTATAAAGATGCGTACATACTGCAGTTTGTGTTTTTGCGTTAGCAGACGACTTTCCTGTTTTTGCAACTTCTGCAATTTCAAAGGGACAGATCCTCTTGTCATAACACTCAAATTCACTCGCCTTAACAACATCCATACAAATGGAGTAAGCATTCCAACGAATATGAAAGAAATCCAAATGTCGATATTCACGGCAAATAGAGGCAGTATAGATTGAGGTATACGACTAGCTTTTTTCACATAACAACAAAGTTCATCAGTATATACGGGTGAAGTAAAATCAATGTCACGCGTTAGATAGTCCTTTATAAAGAATCCAGCTAATATAATATCAAACTCAAAGCGTATCATTCGTCCAATCGCACCATTATAACTGCCATTCTTCAAACGTGTGCTGTAAATAAATTTTAAAAAATGTTTGAAGTACTTGGTAGTAATACAATTGTTGATATTTTTTTAAATTATTGTAGTTAACTGATGCCCAATAATTCAATTTAGAGTAAAAAATATTTTATAATAGATTTATTTCATATTAAGATGGTGTTCAGACAAGTACGCGTTTTGTCACTCCCTATCAGTAAATTCTGTTTTGATGTCGGTAATCGTACGAGGTGTGTTCAAAAAGTATCGCGAATTTTGAATTTTCACGGCGTACGTATATTCGAATTTTTTGTGGCGTTATGTTGGTACTCATGTCTCTCGCTTATGTGGCCTTGTTACACGTAACGAGTACAGTGGCGAGACAGTATTCTGGCCGAGTATGATACTCGGTCGAGAGAGTTGCGTTGGCGAGTAGAGGTTTACACGTATTTTGTTCATCTAGTTAGACAGTGAAGTTTTTCAAAGTTTTATTTACAATGTTTGGTAGAAAAAGACATTTTAAAAGAGTTTTTAACGAAGTTCTACCGCATCTCTAATTCCACTTATTTGCCATTTCAATTCTTTCACAATGCAAAATGCAATTGAAACTAAATAAACAACATAAAAATCGACCGAGTGGCGAGTGAAGACCGAACGCGTGTTCACATGCAACGAACGAGTCAGTGATTAGCTCAGAAGGGGCAAAAGAGTGAAGAAAAAAGAAGCACTCGGCCTAGTAAACAAAATGTGATTCTAGTGACTCTCTCGCCACTATACTCGCCCACTGACTCGGTTCATTACGCCGCTCTACTCGTTACGTGTGATCAAGGCAATGCCGACAAGCTCGGCCATTTTGAATGTTCATTTAATTGTTGACAGCTGCTTTGCTTGCACATGTTTTCTATCGTCTTCGATTCTTACCTATTCAAAAAAATGGATCAAAGAACCTGTATCAAATTTTGTGTGAAAAACGAAATTAAGTRCRYGRWTGCATTCCGAATGTTGACTGTGGCATACGGAGAAGCTACCTTGGACCGAAACAACGATTATCGGTGGTACAAAATGTTCTCAGAAGGCCGAGAAGATGTGACAAAAATTGGCTTTTGCACCACGATAACGCCCCTGCTCACACATCGTTGCTTGTGCGCGACTTTTTGGCCAAAAACAACACACTAATGATACCGGAGCCACCGTATTCCTCTGATCTGGCCCCCTGCGACTTTTTCTTGTTCCCTAAACTGAAGAGGCCCATGAAGGACGACGTTACGCTTCTCTTGACGAGGTAAAGGCGGCATCGAAGGAGGTGCTGAAGAAGATAAAAAAACATGATTTTTTGAAGTGCTTTGAAGATTGGAAAAACCGTTGGCTCAAGTGTATAATATCTCATGGGGATTACTTTGAAGGGGACAAAATAGATATTCATGAATAAATTAATAATTTTTGAAAAAACACAAAGTTCGCGATACTTTTTGAACACACCTCGTATTCAAACAATTTTCTGCATTTTCTTTAATATCACATTCACAAATTCTTATGCTCTTCGCTTGTGATTACCTAATTTTTGTCCTTATTTACGTTTTACTAAAACATTTCTTTTATTTGCTTATTACATACAAAACATAGATAATAACAGAAAAATTCCGAACATATGTAAATATTCTTTTGAACCCAAGCGCTTTTCCAACCAAAATTCCAGAATAAAAAGGAATACCGAATTGCGTCGCAGCGAACTCTTAGGAACAAGAACACAAAGTCTGCCGAGCATGAGCGGCACGGCACGGTGCCTTCGCATTCCTTGTCCTCGTCCTCGTCCTCTTGCCTGCAAAATCGGTTTGGGCGTCAAACAGAGTTGTGTTCTCGACCTACTCTATATAACCATAGTTCGACATGAAGATTATTTATATCAAAAACGCGTCAGAAAAAACTAGCGAAAGCTTCTTATATACAATTATATACATATGTATAATTGCTATGAGAAAACCTTGGTGCTGCCGAAGTTTACGTTTATTTTTTCATATTTTATCTTTAACTTAACAAACAAACAGAAAACATTAATTTTTAATAAAAATAAAGGGCTGTTGACATACCCGAAAAAGCCATCGTCCGGCCATTGAAGATCCATCGTGAAATTCATTTTACTTGCCAATAGATAAGCCACTTTGGCATCAGGCCCCGTTGCTCCAATTACTTTTTTTGAGGTTTCGTTCATAAAAATTTCTATATCGGAATAGACGGAGCGGAAGATATATGTGCGAAGTGGATACTCATGAAAATTAAGAAAAATACTCTTGTAGCTGTCATCACCCAAACTAATCATTACACCACGTTCTGAACCAATTTTCGGAAAGGGATTCAAAAATAAGCATTCAATGCCGCTATTGTTCATGTTATTTGAGATGATATAAAAAATCTGCAATGCTCCACGTTCTATCCATTGTCGTCGTGCCAAATTCAGTAATTGTTATTTATCCGGTTGATCCAGCAAAATATTAATTAATACACCCTTGCGTGAAACATATTTATTTAAATTAATTTCTAAGTCACTGCTACTCATCACCATAGCCCAGTGTCGTCGTTGACTGAAGTGAAATTGCTCCTTTATATCACCAACACTCAGTTGAAGTGGGCAGTATATTTGTTGTAAAAACTGCTGCACAATACTATTTTCAATGTTTGTTTCATTAAACAAATGCACATTTAGATAATCAACTCCTTGCAAAAGCTCTCTAAAAACACCAATTTGTAGTTGATCACTGTCAGAGGYCATTTCAATAGGACCTGACATCAAGTCTAAAAATGTGGGTGTTGCGATCGGCTGGGCTGTAAGGAACTCAGCCGTGTAGAATGCAAAAAAAGCAGTGACTAAAAAGCGATTTCTAAGCTCCTGCATTACGCGTACTTATGAAAAATGAAATGAGATTGTTTTTGGCATAAAGGCTCTATTTATTGAAAAGTCTTTGCCAAGATATATGTACACATCCACATTTTATGTCTCAATATATGTGCACACGTGCATACATAGTAACAGTAAGTACAGTACACTTTTCTATTGCACCTTAAACGCACGTATCATGGCACCATTGGCACCAAATAAATTGTAGGTTGTTGACAAATAATTGACAGAATCTTTGTTTGCCCTTATACAATTTGTGTCAAGTGTCAACTCTAATCAATGGACTGTAATATGCAGTTTTCCAAATTTAGCTGCTTAATCCTTATCGCTGTTTGATATTGGTTGCGTAGCCACGCTCCACTGCTGTGCCTACTATTCAAAATTACTCATGGGTCAGGCATTCATTAGAAAGGCATGTGGGCCTTGCTTTTACCGCCCACAAAACGATAGTATCTACATAGTATATATATAATTCTAACTACACGATTGATTACATTCTTTTGTGGTTATGACAATTTTTGCCAATTGAAGAAAAATAATGATAAATTTCCCAATAAGTTTGTAAAGGGAACCTTAGAGAAATGTTCGTGTTACAATGAACTGCATGTACAATAATACTGCCCACACTAGTTATGACATCAATGACCAGTTATAAGTCCTGCAATTAGAGAAAGCTTAACCTTGTTGAGGGTGTTGGCTATCCTTCGTTTTACTTTAGGTCAGAAGGATCTTGAGGACAGCGAAGCTACAACCCTTTCCTTGACAATTCATTAGCTTTACCGTTACCTGCGATTCATTCCATAGACAAACTCGAGTTAAATGATAGTAGAACCACTTTATTATCGGAGCAGTTAGTTAAGTTCCTAAGTAGGCTGCCTTTCGGAGTAGTAGATCAGATGCTTCTCTGAAGGTAGCAACCTTCGCTTGAAAAATACTACAATATCCTGGAATCCTAAAACTGATATTGACTGATATATCGACGTGTGCCATGTACAAACTGGCATTGATCCCTTAGTTCCGATGAGCTTTGAGAAAACTCTCTAGTTTTTTAGTTTTTGAGTAGCCTTTTCTAATGCTTCCACCATGTATGTAGATAGAAAACATAATAGACTTTACTATGATGAGGGCAGCCATATTTGTGTAGCTCCTCTACAGATTTTAAACGCAATTGATATATTTTTGCTTTCTCTTCGATATTAGGCTCCAATAAAGCATTGTATCTGAGATAAGCTGTCAATACTTCACCTTATCCGCAGGTTGGAGGCAAACGTCTCCCATGCGTTGCAATGGTACCTCCAGAAAACTATTAAGTCTTATAAATAATTAATTATTTTTTAATTACTAAGTTTATATTATATGATATTTATAGTCATTATTAACCACGTCAATTGCATTTAAGTGTTAATTTAATGAAAAAATTGCACATGCTGCAACAAAATAACAAAGGAGAGTTTAAGTGTTTGGAGTGTTGGCCCGATATACATACAAGATGCGTTCCAAATTAAACAGGACTTTAAAAAAAGACAGAACAAATATTTTTTTCGGCAAAATTAATTTATTCTTCCTTCTGCTTCAATACGGCTTTTTGCACGGTTCAAAAGCATGTCGAACGAGTGTTTAAGTTTGTGTGCCGGTATGACCGCTAGTACGCCGGTGCAAGCCTTTTGAATGGCTTCTACGTCTGCATAATGCAAAAAAGGTAGAAGTCGCACGGTGTCAGGTTCGAGGTGGTTAATGGTGAAAATGTGATTTTTGGTCAAATAATCGGTCACAAGCGCCGATTGATGAGACGGCGCATTATCGTGCAACAAACGCCAACTTTCATCAACCGTGCACACACCTTTCGATGTTTTGGAGATGTGCAATTCCATTTCCATGAATCTCAATGATGACTTCGGCTGATTTTTGATGAATTCACGCACAGTTCCGATGGAATTTCCGGTGATCACGGATTTTGGTTGCCCCACATGTTGATCATTATTTATGTCCTCACGACCACTTTGAAAACTCTCACTCTGCTACGGGATAGGCAATCATCGCCATAAACTTGTTTTATCAATTGAAACGTTTCGGTAAAAGTTTTACCAATTTTATAAATTGGGTATAAAGTCAAATGAAATCTCTTAATATACCTATTAATCTGAGAACTGGGTAGTATTGGCCCAGGAAAAGATGTCATTTGTGTTTCTTTAAAATAATTTGTATATTCATTGAGAGCTAGAGCCTAGAGCTTTCTCAATCCAAAGTCTGCACTATTTCACTCAGCACACAATCGTGATTGACACAAAAGACCTGGGGCAATAACAAAGAGATTTTGTTGGCAACATACATTACTAACCAGTAATTAATACGGCACCTCAATATTGTAGCCTGGATGCAGTAGGAACACTGCTATCTGGACTATAACAGCATGTCTTCTGATGTCTCTCATCGATCTGAGATCAAAGACCTGCATGCTTTCTGCTAAGAGGTATAACACTCTTCTATCAATGCAGGTTTTGCTGGTGTGTTTTCGCATAAACATCAATGCATGAAGCGGCGTCGCCTCCCAGAAAAATCAGGAAAACTTTATCTCAACGAACTGGAACAATATATCGATCAAATTTCGGATGCGACCAGTTTTCGAAGGGTACTAAACGTCATTCACTTTATGGGCTGTGTGTAATGAGTTCCCCTTTTTTTAGGCTTCCTGTTAAGTGATTTCGATGACAGGTAACTTACATATTGCTTTCGTCCAGCGCAATCAGGAGAATCATTACAACAACAACCACAATAAAGTCAACGACTTTGGCTTTACAGTTACTTTAGTCCATAACGAAGAAAGTAAATATGTCGGACTAATAATTGTTACAATACATTTCTTTATTTTTTGAAACATTTATGAATATAATAATTTTTAGATTATCTTAATTTTATTGAACATTGTAAAATCTTTCCCATACGTTAATTTTCTGCAACAACCATGAAACACGCATTATATTCCATCGTCTTTCATTTTAATCTTCGTACATTTGCTACATCTTTTGAGACAGAATTCAATGACTAATGACAATACGGCCAGAGAATTACCCAATATGACCACATAGAATGCCAACTGTAAATCGTTAACCGTAAGCACTTTAAATGTATCGGTTTGATCGAAATCCATGCCACTTTTCATTATATCGATGTCAACTGCGGTTTTCATGTCGTTGATCCATTTTTTAATAAGTCCCAAAGAAGCGAATTGTAGGAGTAAATTGTTGATAGCTTCCTCCCAGGGAGCATCTTTCGGTATGACATACGAAATGGTATAATCTTTTGGACATTCAGGTACAATATAGACTTGCTTTGACAATATGAATTGCAAAGATTCCAACAGTAGTGAATTGGCGCGTGAGACTCCGGCTTTTCCGCCATTTTTGGCAATATCCAATGTTACATCGGCGTTTAAATTCTGCACATGCACTAATTTCTTATTGAGATTTGCAAAAAGTGGAGACGTTTCGCTAAAAAATAGATCATCCGCCATTGATGAGTATTTGTATATGATTTTTAGATTACTCTCATCAAGTTGCTGCAATGTGTTTATATCGTTATAATATAACGGATGTATGAATACAGTAGCCAAACTGGACTCGAATATAGCGCCAAATATAACGCTGACCAGGCAAAGTGATGCTATGAAGATGCGTTCCGAGTTGAAGGGCGGATACTGCACAAGATTCACACGCACCCAAAGCACCCAAGTGTCTATGTAGATTCTGACGAATTGCCACCACTGACTGCGTTCGAGCGGTGTGTCGGCACACTTTCTAATGTTGAGGCATATATTTAGGTGTCGTATTATGCACCAAATGGCACAGCATACGAAAGCAGTCAGTATGAAGCCTAACCAAACGTCTACATTTACCGAAAACAGTGGTAAAATAGATTGCGGAACGCGCTTAGCTTTTGGCACGTAAATACATAATTGATCATCGTAAACGGCTACCGTAAAATCCATGTAATCTCCCACCAAATAATCCTTTATAAAGAAACCCGTGAGACACAAGTCGATCTTATCCTCAATAATTGAGCCAATCGCTCCATTATATTTACCATCTTTCGAGCGTTCACTGTAATAAGAAGATAACCATGTACTATCAAGCGGGGTCAAGAAAATAATTAAAACAACAATAATAATGAAGTCAATCAGAATTTCAGTCTTTTGATGGTCATATCAATGTTTCAATTTACTTTACGACAAACCGACCGAACTCGTCCAAATACCAGCAATAGTGTTTAAGATAACCGTGTTCAAAAAATCTCGAACTGTATTTATACATACAAACATAATACATGATTTGAAAGATTTTTAATCCCGGTTGCATATGATGAAACTATGAGGCCTTCAAAATTGATTTTTCTTTAGATCTTGAAATATTTTCCCAGCCATCCATAAATCTTGTAGTAAAGAGGATACCGTGGATGAGCGACCAGTTTACAGCACAATTTCATCAATTTTTCAGTCG